ATTTTTATTTTTATTTTTAAATTGAGTTTTAAAAAAATAATTCTCGAACTATCAACTAAATAAGTTTTTGTATAATTTTTTAATTTTTAATTATTAAAAAATAAAAAATTGAACCAAGCAAACAAATAAGTATGTTCAGATTGGGAGATTAATGTAATGGACCAGCGGATACCTCCTGTTTTTGCTTTTGTATTAAGTCATACAACCTACAAAGAAATGTAGGTATACATTAGAAATTTAAGTGTCCTAAACGATATTGTTATTGTATTTGTATTAAAGTCAAAATTAAAGCAAACGCACATTTTATTTATCATATGTCCTCTAATAGCTTCAACTCTCAAACTCCCAAATAAAAAATAAAATGACTAGAGGGCGAGAGGCCATTTAGTAATCTTCCCAAATGGAATAGTAGGTTTTGTAATTATTTTATTAGCTTATTTCTCAAAACCCACATGCGGATTCAAGCATCTGCTTCACTCTATTCAGAATCTTTCCAGAAGAACTAGCCAAAAATGCTGGTTTTTTTTTTTGGTTAGTAAATTTTATATAGATAGAAAGAATATATAAAAGGGCTCAACACCAAAGCCCAAAGGCAATACAACAAAAGGCCCAAAGTCAACAAATCAAAACAAGCCCACCCACGCCGAGAGATAGAAGACACACAACTAGTCCACGATTGAGTATGAAATAAAGGAAAAGGCTGTGGGTAATGCTACAACTGTTTGTATCGAACTAGTGTTAAAAATTATGGAACTCGCAGCTAATTATCTCATCAAGAACAAAAATTAAATTGTGATAGGCATGGACATTCAACCTTGTAAACCAATTAATCAATTTTATGAAATAGGTTTCAATGTAGCTTTGGTTAATTTACTTTTTCCCCATAATTAACATCATACCTTGTTTGTTGTTGACCCTTTTTTTTTTTTTTTTTTTTCATGAAAGGAGGTAAATTTAATTTATAAAATAAAGAGTAGATGTACAACAGCTTTTCAATTTTGCAAGGAAAACTATAAGCCAAAACAAGGCAAGGGGTTAAGGAGCCCCAAAGCCTCACAAAGCCCAACCCAAACTCCCAAAATTACATAATTGCAAAAGAATACTGCTGTAAAAATCGATCAACGACGACTTGGTTGGTCCAACTCTTACGCGCACCTTTTTTTCTTAAAATAATAATAATAATAATAATAATTTGTTTATAATATATACACATTCTCTTTCTGTCTCTCTGTCTCTATATACATATATATATGACTTGGACTGCACAGGGTACTCCATCAACAAGTTTTTAGTTTCCACAACAAGAAAAGGAAAATGTTTGGAACAATTTCAGAAGAGATGGAAGTGCAAGTTTCAGCCACAGAAGCATGGCAACTCTACGGAGCTCTTCGGCTGGCAAGGCTCTCTGAAGAAGAGCTCTCTGATGTCATTCACAAAATTGACGTCATAGAAGGTGATGGAGGTGTTGGCACAATTCTCAAACTAACATTTCCACCAGGTAATCAATCTATAGATTATACACACACACATACTAGTGTGTCCAATTGAACGTTTAAATTATTTTTTGTTTTTAACCTTCTGTGTTATTAGTATAATATGAGTTGAACAGACTGATTAATACAGATCTTACCATCTGATTTGTTTTTTATTAGAATGTTATATAACTTTTTCACTATATTTATCACACACACATCAAAATCCATATATATATACATCTGATTTGTTTTTTATTAGAATGTTATATAACTTTTTCACTATATTTAACACACACACATCAAAATATATATATATATATATATATATATATATATATATATATATATATGGATTTATAGAGTAATGATCTCTTACTCAGGTGTGCAAGACTCAATGGTGTTAAGTTTTATCTAATAGGGATGTAGGGTGCCAATTCTAACAATTGGATGGTACCATTTTTGAATGCATAAATCAACTAAAACTCTTTAAAACCATGTAAAAATTATTTTTCTCTAACCTTTATTATCAAAAGTAAATAACATCATTGAGATAAATCAACTTTACTCAAACAAGTCTTGACCCAACCTAAATGGGAGACCATGAGATAATAAGTTGAATTTTTCTGTAACTTTCTTATCAAAAGTAAAAAACATCATTGCGTGGGAAAATATATTAATTATATTATAACAATTTATTTATTTATTTATTTTGATAATTTACATACAAACTTTATCACCACAAATTCTTTAACACTAAACTTTTCATTTTAAAATAAGATGGCATTACTTGTAAAAGTTTAATAGATACAATTATAACGAGAATAGACGTAAGAGAGAGCAGGGATAGGGATTTGTAAATCACCTACTTTTTGCATCAAATATTTTGCTTCTGTCAAAGCGTAACATGTAGTCTTACCTAATGATTAACAAATAGTACTGACTTTCTATAAAAAGGTCGATGAAACTATCAATAATTTAATCAAAAACAACTATTGATCAATCAAAATGTTCAATTTTTGTATATTCATTTTGTGGGGTTACTTTAATTAATTCCTAACCAAAGACATTGGAAATAGATCTAGGGGTTTTTGTCTTTGGTTTCATGGCTGTTCACGTTAGAGATGTTTGACATCTCCTTGTCTTCTATTAAAAGTCAGACCGATTTCTAATTCAACCAGATGGGTCCTTTTCACATATTTATTTGGTCTAACAAATCCTCCACATAACTACAACTAACTTTTTTTTTTAATTTTTTTATTTTTTTGAAAGGTAAAGTTAAAGTTATTTATTTATTTATTTATTTATTTTTGTTGAAAGGTAAAGTTAAAGTTTTATAAATAAGGATCAAATTACAAAGGTTGATAGATAGCCCAGGTTAACCAAAGGAAACCTAGCCCAGCTTATAAGGCCCAAAACTCGAAGGAAAACCAAGCTCCAAGAGCAACCAAATGACAGTTATCCAATGCAGGATACAACACTACAGTGGCAGGAGGAGAAGTTTCACCCCAAATTAGGAATGATCTAGAGGTTTTGCCGGCGGTCGAATTACAAAGGCAGCGAGGTCCCATTCATCGATGATATGCCTGGAGATTGGTGAATCTCTGAATGTAGAGGACATAAGTTTCAGCCTAATCCCATCCACTATTTGATGTTGCAAAGCATTTTGGGTTAGAAATTTGCTTTTGAAAACCCTTCTGTTGCGTTCCATCCATATATTGTACACAAGGGATGCAAGTGCTAACTTTGCAATTGAGCATTCTGCCATGATGATGGTTGGATATAGTACCCACATTTTGCTTGAAGAAAAGACCACAGAGGCTTTGTGAAATCACATTTGAAGAACAAGTGGTCATGAGACTCTGGATGAGAATTACACAAAGTGCATAAAGTGGCATTGATATGAGATGTACACCTTCTGTTCAGTGTGGGTAATTTCTGCTGGATAGCCACCCAAAGGGTAAATGAGTGCTTTGGGATAGATTTCTTAGACCAAACAAGATGAGTCCATGGTAGACTTGGCAGGTGGTTGTTGAAGTGCTTCTGAGCAATAGAAAAGGCTCCAGTTGCAGATGGTATCCATTTCACTTTGTCACAGTTTTGTAGGTTTGGTAAGCGAGTGTTATTGGCTTGCAGTAGTTGGGGAAAGAGGTTGGTGATGGCAGATGGAAACATCCAGGTGGAGTTGATAATGAATGAACTCAGCTTAGTTTTGGTATCAAAGCCAGTTTGAGTAAGCTATTGGGGATTTAGGAGAAGGTGGAGTGGCCCAAGGCAGCACCAGTTGTCAAACCAGAAATTAATAGTTGATCCATTACCAATTTCAAGCTTGACAAGAGGCTTGATTGTTGATCTTAGGCTGAGAAGTCTTCTCCAAACTCCAAGAGCATTGGCCCGGAGTCTTGATTTCCCAAATGCTTCTACCTTTGAGCAAATAGTGATTAATCCACTTAACCCATAGCATTTGCTTGGAGCAAATGATATTCCAAAAATGTTTCATTACTGCGGCCTCATTCTACAATGCTAAATTAGGGATGATGCCAAGCCCTCCAGCTCTCTTGGGTAGACAATAAAGTTCCCAAGCAACTTTGCAGCCTGTCTTCTTGAGGGAAGGTCTAGACCAAAGGAAGGATCTCATTAAGCTGTCTATTTCATGAATAATGGCCATTGGGAGGATGAATTTGGAGCTCCAGTAGATTTGAGTTGAGAACAATACAACTTTGATAAGCTGTAATCTACCAGCAAAGGATAGGTCTTTGCTAGACCAGTGGGTGATCCTCAAGGTGATTTTGTCAATCAAGACTCTTTAATCACTTGCCCTTAACATGGATGTGATCAAAGGAACTCCTAGGTATCTCACTGGGAGCTGACCTTTTTCAAAACCAAGCATTGACAAGATGTTGGCTTCCAATTTTTGATGAAACATTGACTTTTGTTGAGATTGATATGCAGTCCAGAGAGGGCAGTAAATGTCTCAATGGCACACTTAAGTGTTGCAATGGATGGAGTGCTAGCATGGGAGAACAATATAAGTCATTAGCAAAAATGAGGTGAGTAAGCTTCAGCTGCTTGCATCTCCAATGAAATTTGTATGACATTTGTGTTGTGAATTTGTTCAAGATCAGTGAGACCACTACAACAGTTATGCCTTTCACCAGTACTCAAAAATGCCGGTGAAAGTCTAAAAAAAACGCTGGTAATTCAATTACCAGTGTTTTCGGAAGACCGCTGGTGATTCTAATGTCGGTAGGGCTTTACCAGCGCTTTTTAAAAAAACGTTGGTAACACTTTACCCGCGCTTTTTAAAGGAGCGCTAGTAAATGCCTTTTACCAGCGATTCTTTAAAAAGTGCTGGTAATTACCCTTTTTTTTTTTTTTGGGTGCTTTTTGTGATTACAGATTATTATTATTATTATTTTTTATTTTTGTGCTTTTTTTCTTTCCTCTAACCTTTTTATTTAGAAATAAAACAAGTAGCATTTACAGTAAATAGTACTTTAATAATAACCTTAATTGCCAATATGAAAATACCATCCAAATGTGTAATAGATTTAGGCAACCAAAAAGAATAAGAGTTTACATCATAATAAATAAAACTGCTAAAGAAGTTTTCAGAAAAGAAGTAAACACAACCAAAAGAAATTTTCACAAAAGTAGCGAACACTCGGCCAAGGAAATTAAAAAAAGCATGACCCTTGCATCTTCAAACTTTCTTTTTTTCTAGCTTTTTAATAAGTGCAGCTTCAGCTTCAGCTTCAGCTTCAACTTCAGCTTCAACTTCTGCCCAATCAAAAATTTTGCATTCAGCACTCAACAAATTGAAACAGAAACTATAAAAAAATAAAATAAATAAGGATTAACAACTCATGATAACGCAGTTATTATTGCAGAGACTGGGATCACATTATAACTTAGCAAGCATAAACATTACACAAAATAATTAAAATATTATAGAGTACTATTTTAGGAATCAGGGAAGCACCCAACGTACTGTTTGCAATCCTGCACAATATTTGAACAACTCTTGCTTAGAAATTCGAAGCTGAATAAAACAATAGCAAAAACTAAGAGTCAAGTACATGAAGCACCTTTGATCTCGGATGAAACTATATCATTACGAATGAAGTCTCTCGTGTTCCTGCTATCCACTGTGCTGCCAAAGTACCCCTCATTCAGAGCTGGTTTGATGCCCAAAGTATTAGTACTGATATTCTCTTCCCATACTCAACCATGATCAAGAGGTTTTTGTTGATTAAAATCTACCTCCCAAGTGGAGTTATGATAGCAGAAGAATAGTCTTGAATTTTTTTTTTTTTTTTTTTTTGGCATTGTCTGATTCCAGATAGCTCACATTATCTTTGATTCACCGTGGTTTTGATGATAATCTGCTCCTTGTCTAAAATTTCCATGGTGATAGCGTATTGAATGGTCTCTATGTGATTATTGTGTGTTTTGTTTGGTTAAATCTTCAAGTGATTTTTTTTTTCAATAAATCTTAATGTGATTGCTGATTGATATGGTCTTTTTTTATGATTTTTTTAATTATACTTGTGAGTTTGAATGTCCTAAATATTAGTACTGATATTCTTTTCCCACAGACTCAACCCAACCCTCACACAAAAATACTGGAATCCTTCCTATAATCAAAATCACTGGTTTCAGAGATAGCCCTGGATTATGGATAACAAAAACCAATGAGTAGTTTGGTATTCGATACCAATAAATCGTTTAGACATTATTGTGCGGAGGCTCTTCACACGGCTTTAATGAAAGTGATTCAGATATTAACATCTTATACTTCCATTTCAATTTGAAAACAGTTTATTCTGAGAAAACAAAGGATATGGAAGTTTACCTTTACTGCTATAGGAACAAGCTCGGATCCCTCAAGTGGCAGCTTAAGCCAAACTCCCTTCTTTCCCTGCAGTTAAATCACAAAAGGCTGTGAGTGCCCTGAATAAACTGGATGTACTTCGAACAGCGAAAAAAATGATTTTATCTAGTTGTGCAAAAAGATCTCATGGCTAGCAGCTCTGCAGAAATAAAAGAAACAGTGGAAAAAACAGAAGCATAAAGTGTTTGGAAAATACGAAAGCTTCCACCTATATGGAACAAATTAGCACTTTGCACTTTTGACAAATGATCACTTGTATGAAATCTCAAAACAGAAGCTCATCTGAAGTCATGATTTCTCAGGAAGGAAAACGAGTCAAAAACTTTTAGTATGTTATCTCGAATGTGAATAAATAATTGGCCTAATCAGTGACAAATTCGTGAGCATAGTGGTTCTGGAAGTCCAAAATTCAGAACAAATCCTGATGAAATTATTTTATCCAAATTTGCAAGAGAAGTCTTCATGACAAGATAGTTACATACACTGGATCTCAATAATAGCTAGACTTTGTAAGCAATATTCAACTTCTTGTATAGAAAATGAAACTACCGAATGACAATTGAAGCACATTAGGACTTATAAACATAGCGTATCTGTTCTTGAAAACCCACTATGGATTTTGCTTTCTGTTGATGTATAGTTCTGTTTCAAAACCATACCATCTTCACTTACCAATCAGAAAATAACAACTAAATTCTACACTTAGAACTTTCAACAGTTAATTGTTAAGCTTAAATTTTTTGATACTGAACAAAATGATTGAAAGCAAATACTTTTCTGGAGGAAAAGAAAAGAAAACTTGGAAATCTTACAACAAAATGAGATTAACATGGTTGTTGTAAGTGAACCAAGTTTTATTTTCTTTTCTGATTTTCTCAGAAACCCAATTAAGCACAAAAAGAAAATCCTAATTCAACAATGGGAAGCAAAACAATTACCTCTGCAAGAACATGACCGTGGAGAGATTTTGACACCAAACAGCTGGTTTGAGTTCAGAGATGGACTAGAATCATATATAGTACCAGAATAATATGAATTATATCAACACGGTCCATAGCCCTATTATCCAAATTCTACCAAAATAGAAAGAAACAAATACAAATATAAATATAAATTAAAAAGCAAAAGCAACCAAAACCTTGATCATGTCGTCATTGACCGCCCGACGAGTCGATTCGCCACTTTCTTTCGCTCTAAGATTGCGGTCGAGAAATCCTTCTTCCCACCTTCCTGAAATTCATAAAAATAATCATTCGAAATCGTCAAACTCAGTGAACAATCTCAGATCATGTCATGCATTGTGAATTAGTTGAGAATGATAGTAAAAAGAAGTGAGTTAATCGATTCTGAGTTCCGAGTTGAAGGGACTCGTGATTCTCAGACAAATCCAAGCTCAAACCAAAAGGAATATCAAATAATTAATATATAAACAAACACATAATGCAAAAAGATTTAAGAATTAAATATTAAAGCCAAAAAATTCTAAATATAAAATTCTCAAATAATAAAGTGTAATAAATGCAACTCTCCAAAATCAACTCAAGAATCCATCTAGTGGACCCTGAAACAAAATCTTAACTGAACATAAACAATTGAAGATAAAAAAACCAAATCTAAAATATGGAATGAAATCCTACGTCGTCAGTAGAGTAAATGACCGTTTCTACTAAGCCCGAACAAGCCCTAAAACTAGAACTTCCGATACCTGAAAAATATAAGAGTGGGTCAGGCCCACGAACAAGTTATATTCTAACTGTAATCCATATAGTGACCCGATATGCAGATACATCCTAGATATCTCACAATATCTATCTAGTCTATAGATACATATATATCCATATTAAGGGACATTCACGGGACTATAAAGGGGTCTCAACCTGAATAGAAGGCAACATGCAAAACGCACCTGAGTGGACATGAGTACCTAGGCCTAACAGGGTATACCTTAACCTATCATAGCCAGGTACGCATCCACTGTATATACGCACCCTAACCTATGAGTCTGAGACTCAAGCTCATCTCGTGGTACCATAACCATATATTTAAAGTCTGTCCAAAACCAGAGTATATCATTCAATTATATAATGATCTGATACAAGACTTATAATACAGTTAGTCACTCAACTTATTTAGTTGATCTGACATAACTCCAAACAACAATTAATTCATGTAGTCACTCAACTTACTCAGTTGATCTGACATAAATATAAGTAGGATTCAATTTTTACAATCTATTCTCTTATTCCAATAAGGTAGGTCTTAGCGTTTTGAGCTAAACCATCCCTAGTATGCTACCGTCCCATACACGTGCATACAATTCACAACATCCAGATAATTGACAAAAATTAATATAATAATTCAGCAATTATAATCCAACACATAAATCCATGTAATTGACAGAATATAAGTTAATAGTTCCTCAATCAAAATCCATGTTAACTTCCATGTAATTGACAGAATATATGTTATTAATTCATCAATTAAATCCAGGAGAAACACAACAAAATCTAATATGTATAAGACCCTATTATGCATCTAGAACAACTTAAAAAATCATACTCCAGTCATCTAGGTTGCTAAAATAAATATAAGCAACTAAATACTTTATATCCGTCCACAATGTGCAACATTGCTTAAATCTTCCACACTGTGAATACCATTAGCATATAGAGATAAATTATGCAGTGTAGGTTCTAATACAACATAATAGAATGTTTAGAGTCCATGCTACAGTCCGTTAAATTGTTAAAATAAGATTAATACAATTTAATCTTTCCTATCCGTTAACAGCGTGTAAAGTTGCTTATTTTTATACTGTTCAGTCTATTTGTACTACGGAACAAATTATGCAATTAGAGAGTTTAAAATCCCATGAAATTACATTTAAAATCCTCAGTATAGTTCTTGAAACAATCCAGAATATCAAACATGTCCAAAACAATACCCAAAACCGTTCTGGAACACGTCAAAACAAGGGAGCCTGCTCTCAAAACCACAGAGCAGGCTCAATGGACCATGGAGCTGGCTCCTTAGCCCTTGGAGCTGGCTCTATGAAGAGGGGAGCCGGCTCCCAACCTCTTGGAGCCCGCTCTCTCCCTCTTTGAGAACACTAATCCGTTTCGTCCCCGGCCTCTTCCTACCCTTCTGTTCTTCCTTAAAACTGATCTTAACAGTCTAATATATATCCAGTATCATCCCAATCCTTTGTTTATAACAGTGAGTTTTAATAACCATAATTAAAACAGCTACCGACTTGCTATACCTTAAAAACAGACAACGAATCCCAATCTTGCAAGAATTATTTCAGATAAAATTTAAACACATATAGATGTTCAATTTAGCATATATCACGTATGCAAGACTCAATTAATATTTAATTTAAAATCCTAGAGATCATCTAGGTATGCACAGAACAGAGGCCAAGGAGAGAGAGACAGAATAGAACTTGCCTGTGCAGTTTTGAAATCAAAACATTGTCGTCGTCTTCCTAAGCCTTCCGACGACGTCCGTTTACTGTCAACTCAACCTCCTACTGCTCAACATTTCCTCCTCCTAGGTCCGACCTTTAAGCCACAGCCGAAATCCTCACCGAATGTGCTCTGTTTTCTCAAAATCTTTCTCTGTTATGTCTCTGTCTTCACTGTGCCGTAAATAGGGTTCTAAAAGCCTAGACAGATGTATGATATATATTTATAGGCAATTACTAAACCTAAGTCCAATTAAAACACTAAACTTAACCCTAGTCGGCCCATTCGTGAATTCTAAAAGAGTAAACCTAATTTAAAATTATAACTATTACACTAATTTAATCCAATTAAAACAAGTAATTTCCAATAAAGAAAAAAAATAAAAATACAATTAGTCAATTAAAGAAAATAAAAATACAATTAATCAATTAACAACCAATTAAACAAAAAATGAATTTAAATACACAATTAAACAATTAAGTCAAATAAATAATAAAACAATTAAACAATTTAGCAAATAACCAATTAATTAAACAAAAATGCAATAAAACCATAATTAAACTGCTAAGACTATCCTTTTATAATTAGGGGTATTACAACTCACGAGTCAAAAGATTCAGCTGCTTCGTGGCTCATCTTCGAACGGGAATAGAGATGGAGGCGATTGGGGAGTTGCAGAGAGAGAAGGGGGGGCAAGTTCAGAGTTGAGAACGAGAATAAAGATGGAGACGATTGGGGAGTTGCAGAGATATGGGGGAGCAAGTTCAAAGTTGAGACCGAGAATAGAGATGGAGGCGACTGGGGAGTTACAGAGAGAGAAAGGGGGGGGGGGGGGGCAAGTTCAGAATTGAGAACGAGAATAGAGATGTTGAGAACGAGAATAGAGATAGAGGCGATTAGGGAGTTGGAGAGAGAGAGAGAGGGGGGGCAAGTTCAGAGTTGAGACTGAGAATAGAGATAGAGGCGATTGGTGAGGCTGAAGAGAAACCCAGGGCTCGATAAACTTAGAAATAATGGTAAATTAAGGAAATTAAAAAGTGAAATAATATTAGAGCGCCAAGTTTTGTCACACTAAATTTCACACTTACCAGCATATTGTTAGCAAACGCCGACTAAGACATACCTATACCAGCGTTTTTAAAGAAACGCTGATAATTAGTACACAACACCAGCACTTTTTTAAAACCCTAATTTGTTGTAGCGAGAATACCTGCATCATAATAACAAAGATAAATGGTGACAAGGGGTCCCCTTGCCTCAACTGGCCCCTTGGCACTGTTAAAAAATTCATTAAATTCACCATTATAGAAATAGTGAAGGATGGTGTTGTAACACAAGTTTGGATCTAGTTGATAAAGGTCTGAGGATAACCCATCAGCTTCAAGGATTTGAGAAGAAAGTCCTAAGACACTGAATTAAATGTTTTTTTAGATCAATCTTTAGAGCATACCTTGGAGAGTTGTTGTGCCTGTGGTAACCATTGAGGAGCTCCTGAGCAAGTAGAATCCCATCATCAATCTGTCTTCCTTGAATAAACGCTGACTATGCTTAGTCAATGGTTGAAGGGAGGGTAGGCTTAAGCTTGTTGGTAAGGAGTTTTGAAATACACTTGTAAATAGTTGAGCAACATGAGATTGGTCTAAACTCACTTAAAGTAAAAGGGTTTGGCACTTTAAGGACACGTGAGATGTAGGTTGAGTTAACCTTTCTATGTAACTTCCCAGTTGTGAAGAACTGCTTGATTGCCATTGTGACATCTTGACTAATTACTGACTAAGCCTTCTTAAAGAAGTGAGCATTGTAGCCATCAGGCCCTGGTGCCTTGTTATTGTTTAGTGAGAACATACAAAGCTTGAATTCTGTATCAGTGTGAATGGAGCATAATGATTCAGTAAAGGATGGAGGTATCACAGGCTGTATAAAGTTTTGCAGCTGCTCCAGGTTAGTGCAAGTGTGTGGATTCATCCCTAGGCTTTGATGGAAGTGAGAAACAATTTCATTCTTGATAACAGCTTCTGTTTCAAGTAGAGATCCATTGGGGGATGAAATGGAAGCAATTTTGTTCCTGTTACACCTTGAGGTAATGGATTTGTAGAAGTTGGAGTTATTTGAGTCCCCACATTTGAGCCATTGAACTTTTGACTTTTGCCTGCAGTATTGTTTCTCAGTGAGCATTAGTGATGTGAATGTGTCAAGGAGATACCTCTCTTGTGCTTTCAGAGCTATGTTATCAGGTACAGTATCAAGGGCCAATTGACAGTTGGAGAGGGAAACTTTAGTAGTCGGAATCTCATTCTATAGTATGGAGAGTGTCCTTGGAGAGGGAAACTTTAGTAGTCGGAATCTCATTCTGTAGTATGGAGAGTGTCCTTGCAAACTTGGATTTCAATGGTTGCTTGAGGTTCTTCAGTTTGGAAACCACTGATGCCTTTTAATGTGATGGTTCCAATGTGATTGCACCAGTGGTAAGAAATCACCATGATCACTCTAACTGTTGAAATATCTGAATGGGACTCTTCTCTGGGGCTTAGGATTGCCAAGATTGATTATCATAGAGCTGTGATCCGAGATTCCTGGGGTAAGAAAGTTATAATGGGATAATGGAGAAGTGTGATTCCAAGTGTCATTGATAAGCACTCTGGTGGTGTGTCGCCGCACCACAAGCTTAAGAGTGTGCATTAAGGCGAAGGCCAAGAGTTTTACATTTATAAAAGCCACTACTACCTTTCACTATAAATATAGCTAGGGCGAGTAGGGATCGTCCCAAGGGATTGTGAGGGTCGAACAAGGTTGTGGAATCGTTATTAGGGCTAGTAGGTCGAGTGATCAAACAATTGGTTGGTTGGTTTATTAGAGAACAACTAAATTAAACTAAGTGATAACAAAAGAATGCAACTAAAAGTAAATAAG